AATTAAAATCTGCATGCAACAGATCATTTTGCCATAATCTATAAGTAGAATTGTAGCTGAACACCACTTATTTGGTATGTATATCCTCTTCTAAACAATAGGCACAAAAGCTCTACATGATGCTTACTTATGTTCTTAGGTATGTAGGGCAGGAATGCTGCACCCATCTGCAACGTTCCTATTCCATGTTCTAAGCCTGTCCTCTTAATTTAATGTCATCCTCAATGACAATTTTAAGAAAAAGACATAAAGCAGCCACAGAATCTCAAAGAAAAAATTATGGCTGCTTTAAAAAGTTGCAGACAAAAATGCCACCATATGCTCCAAAGCCCCTATTGGAATTTGCATTATTGTCCTATGATTCATAGGGGGCCCATACCTCAGAATAAGCTAAATAAGAGGGTTCTTAGTGCTTTATTAGCAACCTGTGAGCATGTTCAGTTGTTGAACTAGCAGCATTAATAACAACAGCAAGGTGGTTATGGTTACATTTAAATTACCATGGGACCAGTGTACCACATTTTAAAGCAAAGGAAAATAGCATACATTACCATGTACAGAAAGAAGAGATATTCTTAAGGTCAGTAAGTCCAGAAAGCTAACTTTGCTTCAATGTCTGACAAGAAAAAACAATTGTGCTTCAGCTACTTTAATCTTACCCTTGATCAAATACTTCCATTATAAAAATGCCCAGGCCTTCTACATACAACTTGCAGTTTTCCAATGGAATGGATAATGTATTCTTGAAAATAAATGCACAGGTAAAATCTTGATTAACCTTTGCAGTATCTGCCATCTAAAAAGGATCAAAGAATCAGTTAATTAAACAGATTCAGCTAAGGAAAATGCAGAAGTGTAGAAGACAAATATAATACAAAGATAGTAAAGGGAACATAATAATAGTGGTTTTTTAAATCCACTATATGAAGATGTTTAAGACTGAGTACGGATGGAGAGGAAGTCCTTGCATTAATAGTTCAGGAGGCTACACTAACTGATTAGACTTAGTATCACCCAAAGTTTGCACTGAGGTTTATATTCAATCTCAGAAGCATTTTCTTTGAATCCAATTCATTAGGATGTAGGAAACTGACTTAATTCTATCCTCATCAATATTATCTTGTCTGTTTGCAACCTTCAATTAGCTGAAATGGTTGTATCAAACAGCAACCCTTTTTGAATCAAGGTACCTCAAATCCACAACCCATTATTCTGGGTAACTGAAATTTTAAGATATTCCCACCAGTTGTGTTCACAAATTTGCATCCATTGCAGGGTTGCTGCACCCAGCTATAATCACAATTGCAATTTTTGATGCTGCCTGTCAGTTTTCAGCAGGCAAAGTCAAAAGGGAAGCTAGCAGAAAGTCACTCCCACTCCCACTGCTTTTTTGCCCATCAATAGTTATCTTGTTTCTCTCTTTAAATAACTAAATATTGACAAAAGAAGACTCAGTGGGTCATATGTTGTCTAATGTGTTCTAAATACCAATCACCACCACCACACCTTGTCTTTGTCTAATGTGTTCTAAATACCAATCACCACCACACCTTGTTTTTTTTTGTTGTCACAGAAGCTATTCTCAAAGTAAGGAGGATCAAATCTGGTTCATGCCTGAGACAAATGGGAAATTCCATAGTTGTCGATTATACCATGAAGTTAAAAATCATGCAGAAGAAGGCAAGAAAGTAAGCATTTTCAAATGTATTGCAAAGAAAACAATATACTGTAAATTTATCAGTGATCTTTGAAGATTTTATTTAATTTCTTACCTCAATTTTGAGAGGTGGGTGCTCAAAATTTAAAATAATCTGTTTTGTGATTTTTTCATTGGTTTCTTGAATTTCAGCAATAACATTGACTTTGATCAGAAGTTCATCTTCAGTAGACATAACTGTTTGCATGTAAGTATCAGCTGATATTTTCCAAGGTATTTGAATAACTGCAACAACCACAGAAAAGAGACAGCTAGAGAAAGACAAGTTCACAGAATAGAAGACATACTCATTGTGTCCTTTATTTGGATAATTTTGTTGCTTTTCAAACAGATATTGCCTTCTGCTTTTGAAATGGAAATACCAAGAAAGTTGCAAAGAGGAAGGCAATGAAGACACAGCTTCTCTATTTTCTATGTTCATATAGAAAACACTACAAATAAAAAGTCTAGGTGAAGGTGAGAAGGAAAAAGATTGTTTATAACAAAAACACTAGTTCTTGATGCACACGCACACACACACACACACACAAACAAACACACACACCTGGTTTGCCTTCAGTCTGGACCATCTGCTTGATTGTTGAAAGGTCTGCATACACTTTCCCAGTGTAAGATTCAAGCTGGCAAGAAGCAAAAAGGCAGCCACTCCAACTCCCCACAGATTCATTCTCTACAATGAGGTTCAGGTCAACTGGCTGTCCAGGCCACAAAGTATATTTTTTTTCTACCCCAAGTTTCAGGTTTGTCTTCAGTGGGTTAGATATAGATTCATGGCTTGGAAGTTTTGAAAGGTAGGAATAAGCAGTTTCCACAGCTTTTCTTTCCTCGTGAGTATCTTAAAAACAGAACAAAAAGAACAACCAATCCCAAGAACAAGAGAAAAAAAAATCAGTTCATCAGAAATCATTTCCACTGTCAGTTATAAATATCAGATAAGTCTGTATCTAAGAATTTATTAACATTTAGAATTTAAGACTAAGAGCTCTCCCATGCATGAATAGTTAGCAATGGAAAGGTTGTTCCTTATTGATTTGCTTTTCTGACAATTATGGCTGAATGATTTTTAAAACACAAGTTTGTTTTAATTTACAGCTTAAGTGCACACTTCAAAATATGAAGTGGGTACCATTAAATAAACTAGGTGAAAAAATAAATTTCCCTGTTGATAGAAAAGATCAAATACATCAGTGGGTTACCTTCCAGAAATTTGTATTGGGTAGTGATGTCTTCACGGATGTTCTTCCCAACAGCTTTAGTGCTGATTTTTTTCCCTATTGCCTTATTTTCTTCCCACAGCTTGACACAGTCTTTTGTGTTCTTCTCATTCTTTACACACCAAAAGATCTTGTCTGCATTCACTGCTGCAAACACAAACTTAGAATCATAGGGAAGGTAGACTTCTCCATTTCTGATGGCCTTGACTGGGCTTGGGCCACACTGGAAAATTCCTACAGAGAAGAATGGAGAATAATTACTTGATTAGTAAACCCAAAAAATGGCATTTCTGTGTCCATCCAGAATTTCATGGCAAGCATGCAAATAGGAGCATTAAGTAAGCTACAATTTTGTAAAGTAACCAGGTCTTTGTAACCAGGAATTTTGTTGTATTTATGAAAATGCTGGAATAAACAATTATCAAACTTCTGATGATGACAAGCAGTATACCAAAGTGCATTGTAAAAAAACATTATGTTTTCACATCACATAGATTTTTCTTTGGCAATTGTTATCAGAAACATGATAGCACTATAGAGTATTCCCTTGAACCAATTCAGTTTTATGAATTGTTTTACTGAGATCTAAGAATAATATTCCTTTCTCGCATCACATCTGTTACATTACATTCTTGAATTTGGTTTCAAAGTTGCCATTCCAACTCTTTCTAATTTGAAAAAAGAAAGAATGGATAATTAATCCACATTTAGTTTGTATATTCCATTCTGGTTGCAATTCCAAGCCTGGTAGGTGGTTTCGGGAATATTATTCTGTCTCTATAGAAGTTACATAGCACAAAAGTTAATAGAAAACCAAGAAAAAAAATCTTGCTGAACATGCTGGATAAACTGAGGCCCACCTGAGTTTAGCCTATTGTTCTTTGTCTCTTTTAACACATGATGGGAATGCAAGGAGAAAAAGATAAAAATCTTCAGGCTGATGCTAAACTGTAACTCACAGCAGTCCAAGTCAGCATGAACAATTTTCAGATGCCTCACATTTTCCATCCCTCAGATCTAAAGTTACATTTCTGAATAACATTTTTTTTTCATGGGGAACAAATGACTTGGTTTTGTCTCATCCACTATTTCCTGCACAATCCTTCCATAGTTTCACTTCACTATTCCTGGTTATCTGTAAAACTAAAGTTAATAGCACATTCCATGCATATAAGTAAAATATGCACAATTTATCCAGAGTATAATATATGCATGCATGTGGCATAAAGTATACAAGATGAATTGTGAGAGGACAAACTTTATAGATTTTAAATATAACCAAATGTTAATATTTCATTAGCTTGTGCAAATATCAGGTGTCCTACCTTCGCTCCTTTGCTGAGGTGTGGCATCAATTGCCTGCCAACCATCAAAGCCACTGGGCAAGTCTATTCTTTTCATCCAGACCTCATTCCATACGTGAAAGTTCCTAATGTAGATAAGTATTAGAGTTCCAAATAAATATAGAAAATTATAACCATTTCATTTAATTTGTAAACTGCAGAGAATGTCAACAGGTCTTACATTCTCAACTCTTGCTTAGAACAGCTTCCCCCCCAACTGAAATCCTCCAGGTACATTGGAAGTTATATGAGGTTTATAGCCCATCCTGATGAAAATTATAACCAGCACATATGGACAGCCATGGATTATATTAGATCTTTCTCTAGTCTAATACCAAAATGGTTTTGAATACTTTGAATGAACCTTTTGTGTAACAAATTATAGGGTTTTCTAAGAAGCCTTTTGAAAGGCTTCAAAGCCTTTTGAAAGAGGATGATGGACTTCTTCAAAACCTGCAGGGGCAACTATGCGCCATAGTGTCGAGGAAACTGAAAAAAGCATGAAGAAGGTTCTTCTGCTCTGACTAATGAGATGGGGGAAGGACCAGGTCTAGTCATTCGAGTTCTGCCTCTTAAGATGCTGCTTTCCTGCTTCTCTGTTTTTTGAAACAGTAGGATTTTTAAAAAAGTTTTTAATGTAGTAACAGGACACAAAGAAGCTATATTCAGAGTACATTTCTTGTACACAAGAAGGCAGCAAAGGTTTATTTTAACTGTTCATTCATCTTCTAGAACAGGGCTTTTCAACCAGTGGTACACATACCTCTGGTGGTACATTGGCACCCGGCAGATGGTACACGACCCTGCCTAGCCTAGACAAGTGTAGCAGGGGGAGGGAACGAGCTAGAGCGTCGGAGTGCAGGACTTGTCATGAGAAAGTCCTCGGGAGCTGCAGGGCTGCTGGGGTGAGACACCCGGAAGAGAAAGGAGGAGGGGGCGGAGACAGGAGAGGATATAAAAGGAGGCAGTTTTGGTGGGAGAGGAAGAGGGGAAAAAAGACACAAGAGAAAGAGTCAGAAGAGAAAAGGCTTTTGTCAGAGAAGTGGTGAGGAGAAAGAAAGAGAGGAAACGCTTTTTGGGAGAAGTATGTGAGAGTGTGATAAGTGGGTGTACTTTATCACTTTTTTCCTTTTTTTTTTGATCATCAAGTTTTTGACACCTTGCTAAACCACTGGTGGTACTCATGTCCTAAAGGTGGTACAATCTGTGAAAGGGTTGAAAAGCCCTGTTCTAGAACATAAGAAAGTCTCCAGACCTTCATGAATAGCATTTTAGGAAACATAAAAAGAATAACAGATTTTTTTTAAAAAAAGTAGCAATGTTAGATCTGACAACATTAATTGCCCAACATTAACAGAATAAGAGAATAACAGAGTTGGAAAGAACCTTGGAGGTCCTTCTAGTCCAACTCCCTGCTCAAACACAAAACCCTATACCATTTCAGACAAATGGTTGTCCAGTCTCTTCTTAAAATCCTCCCGTGTTAGAACACCTACAATTTCTGGAGACAAGTGAATCCACTGATTATTTGTTCATGTGAGGAAATTTCTACTTAGTTCTAGGTTGGTTTTTTCCTTGATTAGTTTCCATCCATTGCTTCTTCTCCTGCCTTCAGGTGCTTGGGAGAATAGCCTGACTCCCTCTTCTTTGTGGCAGCCTCTTAGATATTGGAATACTGCTATTGTATTACTCCTAGTCCTTTCCCCCCCATTAAATTAGACATATCCAATTTCTGCAACTGTTCTTTGTATGCTTTAGCCTCCAGTTCCCTAATCATCTTCATTGCTCTTCTCTGCACTCTTTTTAGAGTCTCAACATAGTTTTATATCATGGCAACCAAAACTTGATGCAACATTCTAAGTGTGGTCTTACCAAGGCATTATAAAGTGGTATTAATGCTTGATTCTATTCCTCTGTCAATACAGCCTAGGTCTGTGTTGGGTTTTTTGGCAGCTGCAGCACACTGCTGACTCATATTTAAGTGATTGTCCACTAGGACTTCAGGATCCCTCTCATAGTTACTACTATTGAGACACCGCCTATATTATACCTGTGCATATGATTTTTCTTGCCTAAATGTAGAACTTTCTGTATAGATATACTTATTTCTTATATATAGTGCAACTCCTCACCCTCTTTTATTAGGTCTGTTTCTTTTACACAATTTAAGTCTCTCTAGTTATATATTCCATTCATGGGTTTCATCCCAAGTTTCTGTAATGGCAACAATATCATATCTTCCCTCATGTACTTGGATTTCTAGTTTGCCCTATTTATTCCTCATATTTTGTGCATTGGAGTTCTTTTTGACTGACCCTGTGTTTATTTTCTACATAACCTGTTTTGTGTCTGAGTTCCCTTTCAGCCTTACCACCAGTTTGACTAGTGCACATGGTATGGCACATAGTATCACACTTGATTTTTCTTAACATCAATCTTAATATTCTTAACTGCACAAACATCTATCTTAGAAACACTGAGAACACTATTGGTTTTAGGTTGCTGGGGACAGAAATGTTCTGTATCAATTAACTCGCTGTCCCCATTGTTCAATTTAAATAATTCTCTAGAAAACTCCTGAATTTTCCACCCTTTCTATGATGGATGTAAACCATCCCTTCATCAGACCTACTGCAAACATCATTACTAATATAACCAAAACCTTCTATTTTACACCATTTCTTTAGCCATGCATTGAATTTCATATACACTGGCCTTTTCCTTTTTGCTCCTTATATATAGATAAAAACCTCTGAAAAAGTAAGATTACAGCCTATCCTACTAAGTTCCTGCTCCAAGGTCTGAAAATCTTTCTGCACAGAAAGTATATTCTAATTGTACAGGTCATTAGTGCCAAGATGCACAACAACATCAACATCACTGTTCTTACTAACATTCTTGACTATCTTAACAACGCACCTTTTTTCTCTGTTGGCAGTACCACCAGGCAGACCCTCACCTTTTCAAGACCTCCTCTTCCTTTCCTAAATTGACATCTCTTATAATTGAATCACCAACCAAAAGATGGCATTTCTTTTTAGCTACCTTGCTCACCTCACATGACTGATTTGCAATACCTGATTCACATCTTCCCTTATCCAAAACAATTTCTTCCTCGCAATCCTCTGCTCAGTTGAGTCATCACCGTCATTACAAGTAGTTGAGCCTTATTAAGTTCAGCAAGGGCACTGTATCTATTATGCAAGGACATACCAAACATTTTGTGTTTATAGTCCACAGCTCTCACTCTGCCAATTCCAGCAGTTGTCCATACTACCTTCTCCTGCAGGGTCTTTGTGTTAAGGGGGGCTGATAGCAGGGTAGTTCAAAAGAGCACACTGGCTGAGTTGGCCATATAATTTCAGAGCACAAACTAAAGACTCTAGATAAGCAATATGTCCATGTAAACTGCTTATAAATAAGACAGTATCCAAATTTGAAAAGAGCGCCATGAAAGACAGCTGCAAAACAAGTAAACTAAGCCAAATATTCTAAAATAAAATTGTAATCACACAAGCACCTACCAAGGATGCATTACTTATTGCTTTTTTCAAACTACTGATATTTTCTGGTCAGAAGGTCAGTTGCCCTCACAATGATTAATTTCAAAGAGTCAGTGCAAATAGATATTCCCTTACAGCCTTCCTGTTTTAGATTTATAGTTGTATGATTCGTGCGCCATTAATCACGCAGGCTGCTACTTTGCTCTACTGGACCCAGTCTCAGTTGAAATTGCTGTGAGCTGGGTAATCATTCACAAGACTATACTGTACATGAAGCAGTAAACTGACTATGATTAGTCCCTGATTTACCTTATATCTGCATAATTAAAAATAATACAGATTTTCCTTTTCTACCTATTTTCTTCATAAATTAGCATTTCAATAAAAATAATTTCTTAATAATATATATTGATAATTACCAAACTGAATCATTTGTTAATGAATCTATTTTTCTTCCTTTTTCATCCAAATAAATGTCCACTTTAAGGTTTTCCTCTGTATCATGAGCTGAAGCAAAGTTTGATATACTTCTGCATGGAATCCCCAGACAGCGCATAACTGAAACAAAGAGAAATTTGTTAGTGCTCACTTCATTAACTGCTTTATTGTCTTTAGCAACAACCACTGCTTTTTATAATGCAGGATTTTAATTGTGTATGAATACTATTTTTAAAGGCATGGTTCATTGTACAAAAGACCTAACTATAATAAAATAGCTATAGTGCTAAGTGGATTTTGATGGTATTTTTATAAGATCTTTATATGTCAGAAGAAGCTGCTAGATTAGACCAAATTAATTCTGTCTCTTAATGAAAGTTAAACCTGAAAAATACTCAACTGCTTTTCAAAGAAAGTACATTTATATCCAGCAGTATGGTTTCTCTCTAGAGTGATTTTTCTTCCTTGACTTTATTTTCTGTCAACTCTGATTTAGGTACCTTTGGAAATAACAAGATAGTCCCTCTCTGTGGCATGATCAACCACACTTCTGTCCTGCCCAAAGTTTATCCTCAATCTTATTCTGAAAACTTCTTGAACTTGGCTAAAGATGCATGTGACCTCAACAACAATTTTATCACTATTTTAAGAAAATGACAAATGATTCCAGATCTGGGGTTTTGGAAGACATGCCTCACTATCTGTTTTATTATGTTTTTAAAAAAATATTTGATCTAGAATTTCAAATTATCTCTTAAAGTGAAAATAATTGGGCTAACATTCAGAAAATTTTCTTTCCCTATAATAAAGTAATTTCACTATTGGTGGCAGATTTTGCCCTGTTAAATTATTCTATAGTTTATAGCAGATTAACATGATGAATAGGTATTGTAGTTTCAGCAAATGGCAATATTTCACTGATCTCATCTGCATTTGTAAGCTAAGCAGAATTAGATCTGGGTCACTTCTTAGATGGGAAACTATCAGAGAATGGCAAGTCTGAGAAATTTTACAAAATATTTCATTAGAGCACGCTAGCCACATCTGTATGGCACGTTCTAAGGAGTTTTACTCAAGGGTGTGCTTTTTTTTTTTTTTAACAGATATTATGAATGTTTTCTCTTATGCAATTATTTACTCTTTTCTAATTTACTATACATTTAAAAATGTTACAGTTAAAACCTGTATTGAAATAATAAAGTTTGGCTGCCTGGCTGATTAAGGATGAGAAGAATCTGCTGAATCAGAGCAGAGAGTCAATCTGGTCCATCTTCCTAATTCCAAGAATGTGTCTTAGGAACCTACAATCAGATCAAGGAGGCAGAATCCTGAATCCCGTTATCTTTCCTAGAATGTAGATCACTAAACTGATTTATTTTCTTACATAAAAAATAATTAATAAATGTTTTCATAAAAACGTGCAGGAAAAGCTTCTGCCTGGAGGAGTTCATCTTACCTGTGGTAACCACTCCAGAGAAAACCCAACACTGACCATATAGGACACTTGTCTGTGTCTTGTAATATTGTTGCAAAATTGGGACACTTCCTGTCCAGGCCAAAGGAGCTGTGCCACCAATATAACGTCCTGACCAGTTTGCAAGCAGAATTCCACAATCATCGTCACAATTAACCTAATAAAGAGTTGATGAGAATAAAACATCCCTGGTTCAGTTAATAACATTATGAAATAACATCCTCCTTAAGGCTAGAATGCATACTGCATTTTCAACCCTAACAGCACAAGATAGTCTTCACATACGTAAATAGAGGGTGTGCTGAAATTGTGAGCTGCATTTTTGAAACCTGAAGGCAAAAAGCTCACGTCTTGTGTGTCTAGTCATTTTTAGTGTCATTAGATCTGTGACCTCCATCCTTCCCCTGTCATACATAATACTGAAATGATGCTGACCTGTGCTCTACCATTTGTCTTCACATTTCAGAAAAAGTTCTTATTATATTTTTTTACAGACAGTTTCCCCTCCATTTGAAGCCTATTTTTGCTTAGTTTAACAAAGTACATTTCAGAACAGGGTCTTACTGGTAGCAAACAATTGGCTGCATAATGAACTAGAAGACCATTATGCTGTGGTCATGCTGCATGTACATAAAATACAACAGTTTGTGTTGAGAGTAGATAGAAGAAAGAATGCGTGGAGAGAGGAAAAACACTAAAGTTAGGATTAATTTTGGAAGAAAATATTCTTAAGGCTGTTGCTTATTTAAAAGAAAATAAGTACAAGCATTGTTAAGGGATGAGCATAATGACAGAAAATCTAGAGTAACTTAAGTTCATTCAGAGCTCCTCCATTATATAGAGAGAACAAGGGCAGATCTGAACTTCCAGTTTTCTTTAGCACAATATAACCCACTCACCATTTCTGGAGGGCAGGAATGAATGATGTCATTTTCAATCCACTTCCAGCAGGTAGGTAATATAAATTCCACCTGTGCTCTCTGGCTATGTGTCAAAAGGAGTATTTTATGCATTGTGGAGGCTCAAGCTAGAATGTCTAGTTTTCATGCTGTATTTACTTCCTTGTAAGCAACCCTATAAATTCCTATTGACTACTAAAATGGATGCTTCCTTTGTTCGGGTTCCTCTACTACCATTTTATTAACAAGTTTTTAAAGAAATTTAACAAGAAAGGTGAAAAACTGGCCTTTTCTGAGGAAACCATGCAGTGATGGACCTGTCTCCTCCTTCTCCTATTTGAAGGTGAGATTCATGAAAATTTTGCCACTTTCCCCTTCAAGCTCAACTAATAGGAAGAATTTGTAAAACTATACTATTTTCCTTTCTTTATCTTTATGGGTAAGTTTCTCTACTAGGAGAAATATAAAAAATATATAAAAGAGGCTGGGGTCAAAGAATCCAGAGCAAATATGAAGCCATCATGGTGGCCAAAGCAAAGAAAATCTAGAAAGAATTTGTTAGGATGGCTTCATTTTCAGTCAGTTTATACACTGGAGTTGAAGGCTGCACAATGGAGAAGACCCAGAGAATTAAAATGACACAGATTGAAAACAAAAGACAAAGAGAGCTGGTCTGTGAGAGGGGTGATTAAAGCACTTAAAATAACCAAAGATGGCATATTATATAGAGGCAAGCATAATAAGTATTTTAGATAAGGAAATTAGGTAAAATGCAAAAACGCTTTATCTGTCATCTGTAGTAATCAATAGGCATATGTATGTGTAGACAGTCAGTGCAGGCAAAGTTAAAGTCCAACAGTCTGAAAATGTGAATGTATGTGTGTGGTGACATATTTTATATCACCAGAACATTTACTATTTTAAAGACATTTTTCCACAATGGATTTTTGGACATCATGGTGTTCTACTACAGGTTTTATATTTTCCCTCTTCAAGTAAATATGACACCAATTTTTGGCAATTGTGATAGGGCACCAGAAACCATAAAACTGGTATGTTGAGAGTTGCAGATACTTTTGACTTCAACTCTCTGCCCCAGCTAATAGGGCCATAGGGAAGTGAATGCAAGAGTTGTAGGCTAAAATATCTGGCAGACACTAGATTTCACACTTTTAGGCTAAGGTTCAGATTGATGGGAAGATTAGTTTTACTGATTTCTCTTTCATGATTTACAACATACAGATTAGCATAAAGCATTTCTAATGACATACCAAAGCTGACATGACTCTGGAGATGATCACCGGATCCTTTTTAGCACTTGGCTTGAGCTGACTTTTGTCCAGAAGGTACATACAGCAATCCAAAATATCATCTTCAAACTGTTTTGTAATACAAGTCAAAGTATGATTATTTGATGTTCTTAACTGCTGTAAAATAATTTCTTTTTTTAAAAACATATTTATTTTAATTTGTCAACAAGAATAAAATACAAAACAGAAACATCCAACGCTAACAATGAAAAAACAGCAAAGAGTGATTATTTGATTTTCTTCACTGCTGGAAAAATAATTTCTTAAAGCAATCAACAGCAACTTCATAAGAGTTTCAAATGTGAAGCCTGGTGTGTTGCTACCATTAAAAAGTAGTTGGATTAAATTATTATTATTATTCCACAATAAATAGTACTTAATGATAGAAATAGTCATCACTGTAGAAATCATTTTATGGAGACATTGTCACAATATGTTAAAAAGAGACTTTCTTAATGTATTACTCATATATTATAGAGATAAAGTTTCCAATAAATCATACTTGACATTTTCTATAAATCATCCTTGACATTTAAAGACACCATAAAGACATACATTTGTAATTTTATTAATACTTTAACAATTGTGGTCAGACCAAATAGCTTTTGTGGGAAACACCTATGACAACAGAGAAGTGCAATGGCATTTAAAAAATGTTTCACGAGAGTGAGAAAAAAAACACAGTTTTTTTCTCCACTTCCTGTAGCGTACTCCACTTTAATATATATTCTTGACCAGAATTTCAACATTCCTTGGTCATTGTTTTTTCTAGTCACTTAAGTAGAAGGATTTTATATCCTGCACTTTCTTTATCAAGTTACTGAAAAAGTGAGGAAATGGAGTGATTTGGGAGAAACAAAGACAGGTGTCAGCCTCTCATGATAGGAACGATGTGAGGAAATAGAAACTTCAAGAATTTCAGGTATACATGTTATACTGTGTAAGTATAAAACAAGAATCTTGAAAGCCTGCTGTAGTTTCCCTCTGCCTTCTCTTACACCAAAGAGAATCAAGATGGAGTTATTTTAAGTTTCTTTCTTAATATTCTCCTTTCAAGGACTAAACTTGCTATTTTTTTTCTTCCTTAGTGCTTTTGCATTCCTTCAAAGTTATTTCATCTTCTTCTATATGGGGAAACATAAATGGTTGGGGGGAATAAATAAGAAATTCTCTCTTACCTGCCCAAAATTCCATGGCCTTCCATGAATATTTGCTACTGATCCTACATAAATGTAGCCAGTATCATTGAGGATGTACTCAGTTCTTTCATCATCATCCGGCATAAAAACATAATCCGCTAAAACAGACATATAAGCACATTACATTTAGGTGACCAAGATCTGATGCAATGAAATATCCAACAGGGACATCAACAATGGGATGGGGAAGGAGGCTGATTTATTTTAGTTATAGTTTATTTATAGGTAATACCCTGAATCTCTTTGGCTGGAAAACCGCATACTTGGGTTGGATACCAAAACTATTGTCTGTTGGTCTCCAAAATAAGCTGGTGAATATTCACATAAGCAGACTGGTAAATTTCAGTAAAGAGCCTTTCTTATTAATATGTTTTAGGCTTTCTTATTCCAGCTACAGTTACTCAGGAATTATCTCTCATTACAGAAAATTCAGTATTCAATCACTTGAATATTACTTTTTCTTGACCAAATCTCTATTTGTTTAATGGGTAAAACTCCTGCCTCTCAGGAGTTCATTGTATCCATATCTTATAAGAACATAAAAACAGCCCTGCTGAATCAGACTAAGGCCCCTCTGTTTCCCACGATGGCCTCCTAGCTCCTGCTTGAGCAGCAGGTAGAATTGAAACAGGAGGACCTGGTTTTTGATTGCAGCTACCATCCTTTGGAATGGCCTCCTGGTTAAAATGAAATTGACTCACTCCTTACCTGGCTTTTGCAAAATGTTTATAGAGGAGCTCTTTCACAGAGAGACAAGACTATAAATTGCTATTTTACTATTGTTTATATACTGGTTGTTTTTTTTACTGTGGATGCTTTAATTGTATACTATGTCTATATCTGTGAATCACTGGGAATCCTCAACTGAATTACAGCTGGATATAATACATTACATACATACATACATACATACATACATACATACATACATACATACATACATACCAGTGATAGCTTTTAAGCCACTCTAGGTTGTATTAATTACCTTGACACCAAGGATTAAACAAAACATAGATAAAATTCTGAGTAGGACTATAAATATTAGATCCTGTATCCACTTTCAGAAGATATTTTCCAATAATTGCATCAGCTGGGCTGGTTACAGCTATTAGACACTAAGAGAAGAACAAGATGTTTATAACATTACAACATTGTACATGGTAAATATCTAAATGCTGCAGGAAGATGTACGTTGAGAAAAGTGTGCTAGTTTATACATAGCTGTGTATGAATAGAAATAGATGTTGATCAGAGTATGGGTGAGCCATATTTTTCTCTTGCTCCATCTTTGGTATGTGTCTTCTTATAATGGTATGTGGGATTGACCATGGAAGACAGGATAAAGACCCACAGCCTAGGTCAGGGATAGGCAACCTTGGCTCTTTTATGACTTGTGGACTTCAACTCCCAAAATTCCTGAGCCAGCATGACTGGCTCAGGAATTCTGGGAGTTGAAGTCCACGAGTCATAAAAGAGCCAAGGTCGCCTACACCTGGCCTAGGTAATAATTCCCTAAGAGGCACTTTGTTCGCAAGTGCGGGAAAAGCATGGGAAGAATTTGAGAAGACTAAGAAGAGCATGCTTTCCCCCCTCATCCTTTTTCCCAAGTTCATTCCAACATACCATTACTATTCCGCAAGACAATTAATATAGACCTTAGTGATAAAAGATTATGCACATCTGATTTAATAGTTGCATAAAACAGATGCAAACACATTTACCTCTTTCTGAGAAGAGATACAGTAGAACTGTGCAACTGTTTATACAGTATGCAGTGCTTTGGATCATCCAGAAGTTTGAATGTACTTCACTATTTCATGCAAATTTCTGCATCAGTGTTGCGGTGATGCTAAATTCTTTATTTCAGAAAACTCACTCTCCCCTTGTTAGAAGCTTGCTTGCATTTTTAAAATGGAAGGTTATTATAAATTGATCTGTCATATGGTGACACTTCTCATAAGGATTGAGTTCACCTAGGATCATTATCCTAATGAAGCAGCTCTGGCGAGTCAAATTCATCTTCAAAACATTAAACAATAGTCAACACATTACATTTGTCATCCAGCTATTCAGTACAGAAAGTTCAAAGCACTGAGCACTAATTATGTTACTTAGTTGAGTAATGAAATATCTGCAAGCAAACAAGCAAGTAAGAGAGCTCCAAGGACTCCACAGTTCAACCATAAGCTACAGATATTCTTTTCTATCAGAAAGTTTTGTAGCTAAATTATTTACATTCACTTTCAAAACTAATTCTGTCTCCTATCATTCTTTTCATCATTCCTCCTTTTCTATTTTCTCACTGTAACTGTTATTTATGCATAGTATTTCTTTGATAGGATTTTACTTAATGCCTTCAGTAAAATCTATTTTGGTCTACAAATACTTATCTGAAAGCAAGAGTGTTACTATTTAAGGAGCCACAAGATTTTCTGTTGCTTTTGCTTCCTGCATTAAACTAACACAATTTTACTTGTTGAGATTGCTAAAGTTGTAAGTATAAGATGCCAAAGTAAACCACTTCACCCTATGTCTGGTGGATGTGCTGAGTTTACAATTCATAGGTTTTTTTCTCAATACAATCTAATTTCCTTGGGGAATTGTAGCCTAATATAGCTAGAAGAAGTTAAGAAACACAGCTTTAAGCTGACATTTCAATGAAGAACATCCCAAAACTTTATACCTCCTTCCCATTTGTTTGGCAAATGTTAGCATGCCATGGTTGAGCATCTTGTTGTGCCCTTGCATTCAGGGTTATGAAAGTCCCATTGGATGGCATTGGTGTTTCACCTAGAAAAAAATAAATTTGTTTAGAGTAACATTAATATATCTGAATGGTAGGGCACCAATTTTTGTGTTCTGTTTCCAGCTTTGACAGATTCTAAATAAATAAAATAAAATAAAAATAAATAAAATTGCACCAATGGTGCCATCAGAGCAGCACTAGGGAACAGATATATCTAAGATCTTAGCCAAGAAAATGAATTGGGAGATTTCTAAAAATGGCAAGCCTGGCTTAACACATTTCGAAGTAAATCAATGCACATCACCAATTAAACAGAGCATTGGGATAAAACATCTAAGGGAGAATAATAAGAACTCCATACATCCATTGAATAGCCTACTAGAAGTAGTCCTTGACTTATAACAGTTCATTTAGTGATCGTTCAAAGTTATAATGGCATTGAAAAAAAGTGACTTGTGACCGTTCTTCACACTAATGACTGTCGCAGCATCGCTGTGGTCACATGTTCAAAATTCAGATGCTTGGCAACTGATTCATATTTATGATGGTTGCAGTGTCCCAGGATCATGTGATCACCTTTTGCAACCTTCTTACAAGCAAGTCAATGGGGAAGCCAGATTCACTTAACAATCATATTATTAACTTAATAACTTCAATGATTTACTTAACAATTGCGGCAAGAAAAGTCATAAAATGGGGCAAAATTCACTTAACAAATGTTTCACTTATCAACAGAAATTTTTGTTTCAACTGTAGTCGTAAGTTGAGGACTACCTGTAACTGCCACATAACATGAGTGGTTATATTTAGTTTTTATTGCAGGCAGATAAGAAACTGTGCTAGATTGTCTTTGTTAGTTCCAATAGGCTGTAGAAGAGCATCTGCAGGGTGATGTAGTCTTGTGCAAATTTCCTTTAATAAAATAACACCTTTAGAGCTTTTATGAGCCATGGTATTTATTTATTTATTTATTTATTTAATTTCTATAGCCACCCATTTCAATGAAAGAGAAAAGCAACATTATGCTGAAAGAATAGAATGGGTTGAGAAACCCAAGGAACTCAGCTATTGACTGGATAGGAAAACAATTTGGGAGGCTCATGGATTAGCTATGGTAAAAGAAGATGGGATAGTAATATAAAATGCAAGGCAGAGCCTTGTGGAACGTTTTCCACAAGGTCAATACTCTCTTGAACAATAAAACAAAGCAAGTCATTTGACTTCTAGCTAAACTTTGATTAGTCCAATAACCAAAGCAGAAATTATTTAAAGGCACCGCCCCCCTCAGTTTGATGGAGGGTGGAGTCCCATAGCAAGCAGTTGGTGTCCTGCCAACATCCAGTTTCCCTTAGACTCATCCTCCAAGTGACATACTTTTCATAAAAAGAGCTGGCTGCATTTTTCAAAGGAAAACATTAGTTTCATGCTGGATTCTGGCTGCAGCTTATTTAGTAGCAGTCAGTCCCAAGATGAAAACTCAGTTGTGAATGCACATTCTTAAAAAATTGTAAGTAGACATCTTGATATCATGGCAAGGAATGCTTGGGTGCATGGATTAAATCATTTAGCTACTCTGAAAAGTTAATGTTCCATTATCCATTTCATTTTATTAATTATTATATTTTACATCAATACATCAGGTTCTTGACATCTTTTGGTGAGAGTAGCTGCCAATGCTTACCAATGCTCAGCTGTAGAATGACTTTGTCATTGTCTTGCAGCTCCCTGCTAAATGTCACTTTTAGCTGAAATTCCTGCCCACGTCTCACAATTAGGCTACTATGGGAAAACTCCTTGGTATGATGAAGATGGGTGTTGTCATCCTTGAGAAAATCAACCCCAACAGCTTTCAGAGGATCTCCTGCAAATAACAAAGAATGCTTTTTCCCCCAACTGATTTTATTGCCTTTTCTCTCCTTGCAGCAAAACATAGCACAAACATGCCCTGACAAATACATTTTCTGCTATTTGCTTCCATTTGTACCCAGCCCTTAAATGAGATAGGCAATAATAATCCTTAGATAAACTGTAATATATTAGCAATTAAGTAATATTTTCCTACTTATTCCATGCTTTGGTTCACATTTTATTCATGTTAACTGAATGAGAATATGATTGTTCTCTATATGTTTAATATTTTTTGTTATACTGCAATTACACAACAAATTCAGGCACAAACAAGAACCACACATGCGAAGTTTAAGCTAACTACTTTATTATGTTCTACCTGTAATAGAGGAATCCCCTTAGTCTGGAAGCTATCCCTTGGGAACAATTAGGTAAGGGTCCAAGGAATTCAGAGAGGGAGCTTTTATGGTTGCACAGTGACTCTAGACTAGCTCCATGCTTTATCCTACTTCCTGCCAAACTGGGTACTTCCCAAATATTACTTATATTGATAATATAATATTCCCAACAGGGCTCAGGGAACCATAGCCGAAGTTCGGGTGGCCCTTAGTACTGTGCCCCTATCTAGGGATTTGGAGCTGGCATTTTTCTTTCCCAGTTGCTTTCTTTTTACAAATTGCAGCACTTTCTCATAATACCTTTAAAAAAGATGCCCAATGTGGCCTCTATCTGCATGAAGAATATATGAAATAATCTGAAATCTGACAATATGGGGCATGTGTTGTAGATGAAAGTTCCCATTCTCAGCTGATTAAATAGAGTTGAGGGAGCTCTATTCAATGTTTGAAAAAATCCCTCTTCTCTAAAAGGCAGGATTTATAGCAGAGATTTTTCTGGATCTAACCTCATCACTAGAAACCCACGTTACCTCAGGATAATAATCTGACAAAGGCAACTTCTTGAGGAACCCTCTCATCCCACTGGGATTGGCCTGTACCCTCGTACTGGCAGAGGAGGTGTGCTGTGGGTTCAGTCAGCCTGATTGTTCTGGCTGGCGAGGTCCAGGAGGAGGGCCTTCTCTGCTGTTGCTCCTCTGGAACAACTTTTTGTTGTTGTTGTTATAATATTTTATTGATTTTCTCATTTTACAATTGGGTATTTAAAAAGCAACGTGATGACTGGGTTGATCAATAGTTCAACAGCATACATAAGTCTTTAGTATAAATCTCAAATTAAAACATTAAATATTTCCTCTCTTTTTCCATTAATAACTGCTATCTCATATTGGGCTAGTACAATTCTTATTATTACCAACTAAATAGAAACATCTTTGTTACATTTATCAATAATTTTTAGCCTATACATATCTTAATTGTGTTGCATTTAATATCCTTATATAAACAATGTCCTATTATTGTTTTTTTCTCCCAAACTTTAATTTCCCATCAATATTCAAGAAAACACAATTATTTATGATTTCCAAGTACTTCATGTTTAAGTGACCAAAAGTTTCCCTTATCTCAACTTCTCCCTTTTTCCCTTTTCATACCAAAGTCTAATAGTCTAATTACATATCTTACCTATTTAATTATAATGTTTTCTAAAAGTTGTCTATTTTCAACCATCTAATTAATAATATAATATCCCCTTTAATAGGTCAAAGCCATTATTTACAACAGCCTTATTTTGGCTTTCTTCCTTTGCCAGCTAGCCTTCCATGTCAGTGCCTTTGAATCATCAAATAGTTCTCCCTCTATTTTTATATATATTATTTGGAATAAGAAAGACCATTTGGTTGAAGTTTTTTTGGAAGGACGAGCCCATTGGTATTCATTAAATCGCTTTCCTATTACTCAATTTCCTATAGTTGTCCTGACAGGTTTATCTTCCATTCAATCTGTTCTTCTTCCTTTTCCTCAAATATATTCTGATTTCTTGATTTGTAAAAAGTCTTTTCCATTTTCAATGTTGGCACTCCCTTTTCTGATTTTTCAGTTGGCTGTTGGTCAGTTGGGTCCTCTGTCTTAGGGTTTAGTTGTTCCAATTTTCATTTTGTTTTCTGCGTTGTTAATTCTTTGCTTGTAATCAAGATCTGGGTTTGTACATTTAAGCTAGCACATTGTTCCTTTGTGTTGCTTCTTATTTTGTCACAAGCTGAAAGGATGGTTTCGTGTATTGATTTCAACATGGAAAGGATTTTTTCCTGATCTTCATCCATATTCTCTTGATAGTATGTTAAGTTGAAGACTTTAGAATCAAACATTAAAAATATTTTTTTGTCTTTTGTAGCTGGATATGGGACATTAATTCCACATTTTAGAGGTGGTCCTTATAGTAGAAATTGTTTATCAAATAAGAGTTTATAATCCAAGGTATTCCATCATCTCGTGTAATAACATATGCTTCCCATGCAGGGAAATAGGAAAGCAATTCCCCAAATATAGCTCTGAAAGTCAGTACAAGTTTACATTCATAGTTCAAGCAGGCCAGATAAGCCGCCCAGAAATCCCTTCTTTGCAGCTGGGTTTGTCAAAGGTGGTAACTGTCAAGGTCAAACAAATTTTATCTGAAGTCTGGGCTTCAAGCCAAGTCTCTTTTAGGCAATAACAAATTGTAATACCATAATTTGCCACAAGATGTCACCAACGCTGTTTTAAGCTTTTTAAGTCCAAAATTTATAAGGTGTTTTTTCAAGTCTTATTTTAAAAAAAAGTCTCCAATAACAAAAAGAACACTTTTAGTCCCCAAGTTTCAAAAGAATATAGATCCAATTAGATTAAAATTAATCTTATAGTTGCTCTGTTTCCCCTGGGTAGTTAGTCACCGCTTTTCTTAAAGGGTGGGGTAAAAATTCCCTTCCCTCTCTCCTCACAGGGGGGAAAATGCTTTGGGCAGCTTTTACAGAAAAAAAATAGAATTTTAAAGAGAGGATCAGGTCTCACCCAGTTTCATCCGTGTTGCTTAAAAGTTGCTTGGTGGTACTTTTGACTTCGACTGTCAGCAGCTTAGTGACTCGCCATATGGCGGGTCATTCCCCTGCTAGTTTGGAGGGCTTCCCCAGATCAAACGGAAGGGCTGCCACCCTCCCATGATCAAACAGGGTCCCCTCCTTGCTCATTGCCTCTACGGGGCGACTTTCGACCCTTTCCAGGGTCCCCCAATGGCACAAATTCAGATGCGAAAGACAGAGCTTGTCTTCCTGTGTCTGCGGTGCCGCAATGCCAAGCTGGAAGTCCTCCTCTGGAACATCTTGTCCCGCATTGTGAAGCTGACCTCAACCCTCCTATATTTTCATGAGGGCCTGAAGACATGGCTCTGCCAGTCGGGTTGGTACCCAGTGGGGGAGCAATGCAATGGAGATGGTTGATTAAATAATAACATATCTCATCTCCCTTTCCCATTCTGGTTTTAACGTCTGATTTTAACTTTTTATGTTTTTAACTGTATATGTAACTGTAACCCTCCCAGAATAACCCTATAGTAAGATGGGGGGGCAATACATTTTACAAATAAATAAATAAATAAATTTCTGGCTGAGATAAGCTTAGTTATTTATATATTTTTTTCCAAATTGGCAACATCTGCTGACATTCAACCAATATAACCAATTAGACCAAAAAGCAAAATAATATTAGAAACAAAAATCAAGAAAAAATATTTTTCCTAGTCAAATGTAAATGTTCTTGGTAACCCTAAAGAAATGAGTGGAAGTCTATCTCATTGATAAGTAAGCATTCTTTTATTCTTCTTTTCTAGCACTTAAAGTTATATCTGCAAGATTTTTGGCCCCCGAGTAATTTTTCCATGGTATTTTTCTCCTGATGGAGCTTTCTTTTGAATATTTATGCCAAATAATTTTTTTCTCTAGCATATAGGATTATATGAATATCCAACTTCCTATTGCAGGAATCTTGTATTATTAGATGACCACCTGAGCATATAAGAGCAGACTAATTAAGCAGAGGATGATAAGGCTGGTGAGACCATATGCTCAGAGGTGGTTTCCTCTCATTCAGCTCTCTTTATGCATAGTCTTTAGCACATCTGGATGGCATCACTAGATGCCTTTAAACATGCTGCATTGTGGCTGCTTTGCACCTCTCAGCACATTGCCTTCCACTTCCAGTCAAAGTTGAGCAAAAAGGCATCCTGTTCTTTGCAGGCAGGCAGAATAGACAATGTTCATTTCCACAGCACAAGTAAAAAATACCAGGTCTCTTCTGATCTCCTCTGATTACAAAGAAAATTAAGTACTTAATTGGCTTGATAACATCTTTGCCCTACTGCTACAACTCCTTCAAGTTTTACACAGGTTTCTGCATGTCAGCATGGTGATTGCCAGTCCTTTTTCTCTCTCAAGTGTAGTAGGGAATTATCAGATACCTCTGAAAGTGTAACATTTATTACAGTCCTAAAATGTATTAGTTGCCATGGCATCATTTAGGGTTAGGCCTATCCTGTGTTCTGCAGACTTGATAACCACTCCTTCCTTGTTATGAAAAAAAGAAGCTGTCAGTTTAAATCATACATTTATTGTATTATATAACCACAGTGAGTAGCTATATTGCCTTTCAGAATGGGAAGAAACAATGTTCTCCAAAGCTCACTGAACCACAGTTCCCAGAAACCTAAGAAAACCATGCTTGTAAATTTGAGCTCAAGTTGAGTTTCTTTCTCAAAGAAATGAAAGGGAATGACTAATGTATTGTTCTGCACTAAATAAACAAAGAATCAGAAGTGTGGGTTATTAAGATAGTAATAATATGATAATATAGGATAACAGAAATTTCTTCTAATTAGTCACACATTCCTTGCACTTCAAATCCTATTTATGTTGTCATATCTAAAGCATCTTATGTCAATTGTAACAGTTCATGTGCTTCTTAAAGATTCTGTGGAATCTTTATGGAAGTAAATCCTATTAATCTCAATAGGACTTATCAGGGTAGAAGTAAAGCGCCAAGGTCAAATGAGGAGCGTCATGATAGGAATGCCCAGATGCCAACCCCCCTG